AGCTAAACTCGGTCCACTTCGATGTGCCCTGTATTCTGAGTTTGTTTTAACAAAGCCAGGAAAGCCCGGATTTGGTTATTCTTTCTTAGGCATGCCACCTCTGGTACTGCTCTCACCATTCAAGACAACCATATGATCAAAAGCATTGTTAGAGCTGCATAACACCTCTTTCCTTTTCATCCACTTATTTGTATCCATTCCCTCCTTTGGACACATAATTTCAACAACATTTGAACCACCATATTCATTGTCAATAAATTTTCTCCAAAAATCAGTATCGTAACCCCGAGGCCTGGTATCATTCTCATAAAAAACAGGGGTATCAATGCCTAAATCAAATGCAGGAAAACCTTTGCCTCCAACTGTTGCTTCTTCCTCATCTGAGTCAGATTCAATATCAAGTTTCTTTCCCTTTCCCTTGGTCGCAGAATAGAGAGCTTCCGCAAGTTTAGCTTCCGCTATTAGGTCATCGTCAATGAGAATAGGGTTTCTCTTAGATCCGACTGACCCTAAACCAACATTTTCAGCTTCCGACAAATCGTTTGATGAAACTTTGTGGTTGGATTTATTGCTCGAACAAGGTGTAGTAAAGACACGTTGCCGTTTTGTCACTGTTGCAGGAGTTGAAAATCCACTACTTGATGGGGATAAAACATCCGAACCTCGTTTAGCAGATGAGTGGAACTTCACGAACAAAGTCAGAGATTTGTTCACCTTCAACTCACTAAGAAAGAAATCGAGAGCACAGTCGCTTTTGACCCAACCCGGAGGCGTTTTAGCACTGGTTACAAAACCGGAGGCGTCCACAGGCCAATAACTAAGACTCGTGATATGCTCCTCTTCAGACAAACCAAACTCACTCACAACAGTGTCAGAAAACTGCTCCAGCTTAATACCAAGTTTTAGACCAACAATTCTTGACATACGATACTTATCAATCACAAATCCCAAGTTTCGTCTTCTCTAAAACGCCATTCGCCGCAAATAACTAGGCAGTGATGCGGCATTGGGTTGTCGGAAACCATGGTCTTGTCCACCGTAATACCAACCACGATAGAGAACTAAATCTTGATTGTACACGAAAACCCTATTCTCACATGTAGTAGGTCACAGCTGTAAAATAGCAGCTATCTTTACTTTTTCCTTCTGTAGAGAATCTGAGCCAGACATTCAAAATACTGTAATTGTGAACTGCACTTTTAACCAGATAATCTAAACAACACGTTTTCATTAAAGCAAATATGTAATCAACGGTTAAGATGATGCATAATAAAGCAGTCAGCAAATCGGTGAGTGTAATCGTAACCGCATGATTTCATTAAAGCAAAAGAAGAATCGACGGCCAAGATAATAACGCAAGGAGGAGTTAAAATGTCGATGGCTTTGTTTACAGTAGGGACATTTTTGTCTTTCTAAGTCCCAAAACAAGAGAAAGTGTGTCTATTTTTATTAAGTGTCCCAACAGAAAGAGGAGACAAATAAAGTGTCCATGAATGTAAGTATTCCTTTCTTCTATCCTCTTGCTCTTCATATGGATTTCCTCTATAAGTGGAACTTGCCTCCTCGTTATCTGAAGACCCTGGCCGTTCTATAACAAACTTGCCTCCTCGTCATCTTCACTCTAGCTGGAGGAGCTGTATATGATTGGGTACCTCCAACAAATTGTCTTTCTATGTGAGGCTTGGGCTCATGCATAAATTAGGAACAACAAAAGAAATTTTTCATTTGATCACTATGGATCAAGCTCCCCACATAAGATACATGGATGGATGTGGCCCCAAGACCTAATACGTGCTCTCGTCGAGATTTTATCCTTCAAGAGCCAACTATGTAAAGAAAGCAAATCTCCGGATACCCTATGGAAACCAGACAACACAACTCTTGGGGTGCGGAGTTAGCCGAGAATGTCTCGAAACTCATCACGTTTGTGTCACTAGAAGACTCGATCAGACCGTGCATCTGGTTGTGGAGCAGGGATCCAACAAATCTGATCTACCACTTGGTTGATTGTCTACAACGGCGAAAATGCCAAACATCGGCCATTACTACCTCTATTACCTTAGCAAAGCGTTGGATCGTGCTAGATTTTCCCAATACGTCGATGAGTCGCCTTTGAGAGAGGCAACAATCTGACCAAAAGTAGGTGGAAACACCATTCTTCACTTCTATACAGTTATACCAATGAAATATTTAAATTGTTATATTCTTTCTCTCAAAATTCTTGATCTCAGAGTATCCATGTGATTGGTTCGGCTGTAGCTGTAAATTAATTGCTGTACAATTTTGTTTGTAGACGATTTTGCTGTAGCTTTAAGATTTTAGCTGTAATTTTTTAAAATTAAAGTATGATTGGTAAGTATTATATGTATGCTGTAGAATAATTTTT